CCGTTTAAGATAAGAACCGTATACGTATTAATAAAATGAAGGGAAATGTAAATATCGAATTGGATTTCAATTGTTTGACGTTGTAGAATGGAAAAAGTATGTCATATAAAATCAAAAAATTTCTATTAATAGATCAGTGCTAAAATGGAAGCCTGTGTGGTCATGCTGAAAGATGCAGTTGATGTTATATCAGAGGAGAACAGTTTTGATATTCCACCGCTACCGCCACCAATTGTCACAATTCCTGCAACTCCCAAAAAGGAAGGCAAGCAGTTTAAACGAACTCCTGTAGAAATGTGTGCTGTCAAGGTCAGTTCATTTGGAGTGAGAATGCACAATGACAAGAGCCCGTGTGATATAACAGGTTCAACAGTAATGCCAGATGGAAGACTTGTGCTAGTTGATTATAACAACAAAAAACTCAAAGTCCTTGATCGAGACTTCCATCTCATGTCAGATTTCAAAACCGACGGTGCATCATTCGACACAACTACATTATCACATAACCAGGTTGCAGTAACGGTGCCAAAGGATAAGAGAATCCATTTTCTAAGTCTGCAAGATGGAATGAAAACTGCTGACAGTATTCACACTCGACTGGAATGCTGGGGATTAGACTATGTGGACGAGAAACTTGTAACCGTGACTAATAGTGATGATCACATGATTCTGTTTTACAATAAGAAAGGGACAGAACTTATCTCGTGTAGCTTAGGCTCACAAGATCCAAATATGAAATGGCCGATATCAGTATGTGTTGATACAAAGGATAAAATTTACATCTGCTGCCAAGGTGAAGGTGACTCTGAAGATATCAACGGCTGTCTGGTGATAATAGATTCCTCAGGTCAGGTGAGAAGCATGTACATGGACCCTGGCTTGAGGAAAGCAACTAGCTGCACTAAAGACGAAGATGGGAACATTTTTATTTGCGGTTTATCTTCAGCAAATGTTCATCAAATTCCAAGATCTGGAGACCGACTTGGACAGATTATTTCTGGTCTAAGTAAGCCCATTCATGTGAAGAGTTACTGGGATACAGGCAGTTTGCTGGTTATGGAGCGATTCTGTAATGATGTTTGTGTGTATCAAATGCAAGAATAGCAGTTATATCTATGTAAAAACATATGAAAACATTAGAAAAAAAACATGAAAGTTATAGATATTTGTAAAATTCTATAATTTATTAGCACATATATTTTAATAGCATTTTATATCAGATTATTTATATACTTAGTAATAATAGTGAGCTTTGAATGTAGACGCTAGTAAAAAAAAATTATATACATTTCTATATTCTATTCTATATTAGCTTTTGTAGCTAAAAATAAAAATAAAAACATTTCAATGTTGCTTTATTACTGCTATGAATGAATGAATGGGGCATGATTGTTATGATAATGATGATGATGATAATGATGAAAATAACGACGACTCATTTGTAACATTGACAATTCGTCAAAATATCAGTTGCTTGCATTCGCGAATATATATGACAAAAATTTGTCGTCTGCAAATGTCATTTAATGTGCCATTCATTATTTAGTCTCTCGCCGTTTGTATATCACCCAAGGACATATGTGTATTCAATTTCTTGCAAATAGATAATTGTTACTATACATTTTAAAGGTCCATTTTCTACATAAATGTACGGCAATTGAGATGTGCACATTTTTGCAAGGAACAGTTGCAACTGGCTGTGCAACAGTGGTTACAGAGACAAAACTGTTTCACCGATTATTTAATAATATGGCTTATAGGTAAGCTAAGATCTTCTTAAGGAATATGTTTGATTACTTGAAATCGGGCACATATAATTGTAACAAAGTGTCAATGAATCTTAGTGTAAATTTCCATGTATGATTATATCCATTGTTTCAGCAGCAAATAATAGTAAAAGCCAATAATAAACATGACATTGAGGTTTTAGATCCTGGTACAGTCAATCTCATTTTTTCGTACACGTAACGTTGTAAGACACGTTGTTAGGAAAGGAATTTTTCCTCGCTGATCTCAGCGCTCCTGACATGCATTTGAAAGAAAAGAAGAAACCATTATGTATAGAAGTTATCTTACTTCAATCAGGAGTATATGTAATACTTGTATTTTTGTCAACTTAAATATCAAATGGACTGTTAGTTAATAAAAAGAACTCCGAATCGATTTTAAAAGTTATCTATCTTACTATAATTAATCAATTGAAAAAATATCCATTTCTGACATACTATACCGTGAGAGTAACAGTTAAAATAAAAAGGGACGTAATTGCTCTTTTTGGTAAAGTTGGACATTGGCCAACGGGAGATAATCCTATATATTATATCTCTGTTCTTTTATACCTGCAGGTTTTAATTTTCTTAATGTATGAAAAGAACTTGAAGAAAGTGACAAGTTTGCAGTTAAATATTTTTTTTATTCGTGTATGATAAAAGCTAACGCAAGTTTCAGCAGTGATCTTTTTACAAATCTTCTTTCACTTTATATACTTAAAATCCAAACAGCCGGTCGAAAAGAGACCATACCAGCGATCATTTTAAGCAAAAAAAAAACTGGAATAAAAGTGTGATCCCTCGGAAGCATTGATAACAACAAAATTATAAGAACATTGCAGACTCGGTTTGTTTGAGTCTGTGATGAGGGATACTGAAAAAGTGCAACATCCCTCACGCCCCTAACACCGGCTTGAGCGTAACTCAATTTTCAACACTTAAAGTGATGGAATCAATGATCCCGAAGGACCAGAAAAACCTAACAATATGGAAGTGAAGTACGGGGCAACTTTTTACATCTGCCTTATATTGCTGTAAACAAGATCCTCCAAACTATCAAATTCAATGGCTTATTGATCCGCAACGGAATCAGATAAATGGTTTTTAACTGTTAGCTATAGAAAAATGGTGTTTTGTACGAAAATTACACTTTATTACACGCTTTATTTACTGAAGAAAAATCGCCGTTCCAAAAGTAAACAACAGGAAGCAAACATTTTGCGTGTAATTCTCGAGAGCATAATTCGTGGGCCTTATATTGCTGTAGAGAACCTCTAATGATTGACAACAGATTATTTTTTACGAAAATTTTTACTCTTTAAGAAAAAATTTATCGCCGGTTCAAAAAAGGCCATCCATCGCGGAAATTTCAAAGCCATTTTCCTTCGGTTAACCCTTTGTGCCTGATATTTCTGTAAAGAGCGTCTAAACTTATGGAATTTCTAATTTGTAACGAAATAACACAATCGTGTGTTAACGGTTGGCAACAAAAAAGTGGGATAAAGGGTTACATCATATTCTACGTTTTTGTTTTGTTTTTGTTTTTGGAAGTGGCTAGCCGTACGGGCCCGTACGGCTAGCCAAAAGTTCTAGCCGTACGTGAGTCACGTACGACTAGCCAGGACACACTGTATTGTCTAGCCGTACGGCACTTTTCAAATTTAAATAGAAGTCGAAATTATACATATATGTTTTTTCATGACTTTAAGCGAGGATTTTAACCATGAAATAGTAATTGTCTTCGTATATTTACTTTAAATAGAGATTAATCGCCTTGTTGGCTACAGTAAAAGAAGTACGAATATCGATCTTTATCATTTCAAGACATCGAGAAAAAATAGCGTTAGGTCGCAGTTAAATAACATCAATTGAAATAGTTTACAAAATTTTGATAATAATCCTTTTTTGTTTCATAAAGTTTAATTTTCGACACCTTTAAAATGAATAAAAAAATCAATGTTAGGCTCTGATACTTGCGTCAATTACCGAAGGTATAGAAGTTTGTCCATTGGAATTTGGAGGTTACGTACCATGGAGGTTACGTACCACTGCATAAATGTACCATTTTTGGAGGTTACGTACCACTATAGAAATATATAATTAAGTGATAATAATAGGGATAAGGTGTGAAACTATATCACGTTTATTGTTCAAATTCGCGCATTAATTGTATTTTGTAATGAGATTAAATATGTATGAATATATAAGAATAAACAACAAACCGCAATTAACGATAATAACAAGTTTTATTTACAACACAAAACTGAAAATAATTAATAACAATAATATAATTACACGCACTAAACTGAAATGAACAGTACAATGAAACAAACCACAGCTAATATATAAAAAAAACATTTTTTTTTTTCATTTATAGTATTATTGTTTTATTTATACGCATTTAACTCAAATTAACTGAAATAAACAAAATAATCAAAAGCAATAATAATATTTCATATGCATGTTAATAAACCGGACAAAATTACTTACCTTGAATAAAAAAAAAACTAAACAAGCGTTACATATTTTATCATTTATACATTACATTTAGTTTCATTTACACGTTAACTTAACTGTGCATAAAATGAAAATAACAATAATTATGTTACACGCTCTGAAATGAAACAACAATACACAATTAACAAGTATTTTTAAAAATATGTGCCAGCCGTTGCTCGACTTCCATCATGCCAGCTACAGCATTCGTAGTGCCGTGTAACATTGCTGGAACTTAAAGGTGGTCTACTTCTTATTGAGTTGTCAACAACCTGAAATTAAATATTAATAAGTTTTCTTATTAAGAAAGAAATTATGCATGCATGCTTTCTGTAAAAGTTGATCGCCGCAAAATTTCATTTTAAAAAATCAGTATTACGTACTAACCGGAGACTTGCAATTATAAATCAGTGTATTCAATCATATGTCAATAGTTTGCAATTTGTTTGTGATTACTCATTTCTGAATGTGTGATAATCATACATAGAAATAGGTAAAACCTTTGTTTGCATTTATAATAATTGCTCTTATGTGATTTTTAAAAAGTAATATTAAAGTTATAATTCGGTCTTTTTTTATAATTGTTATGCTCTATATTATTTGTATTTTATATAAATTATATAATTATATATATTTTTTATCGGTACTCTACAATATACGTGTACATACAGTCACTTTTCAATGAAAACGGAGAAGATATACGAATAAAATAAACATTTACAAAGTTTGATCCTGTTAGTAAACAGATAAAATTTTATAACGGCTATGGGTTATAAAAATGATAACATGTTTAAGTTACACCCCTGACTGTCATAGCAGTGTATCATTTATATCCGCTTGCTGATTATTAATCTTAGGAAAAAATGATAACGTGTGTGTGAGAACAATCTGTTATTCGTGAAATTAATACTTTTGGTTTTTATTAAATTACCTTATAATTGGTTACAGAAAAACAAATCATTCTTTTGATAACAATGCTAGTTGTTTGAACAAATGTTGTGATAATAATGTAATTTGCTTGATATTTTGTGACATTACGAAAAATAGAAAAAGATATGACAATTAACAATAACATTTATATTTATCATTACTTCGTTGAAGCAGATGCCCAGTACACTGATTAGAGTAAATCGCATTGGTTAATGAACTCTGCTGAAAAAGGAGAAGAGTTTATAACAATAGACTTGCTGTATAGCTTATTTCATACCGAAAAAATATTTCTTATTACAATATGTTTGCACATTTAAATTTAAATTTTTGATGATTTAAATTTATTGATTTTATTGATGAGTTCTAAACTAAAGATAGAGGAGGATGTAGTAAGCAAGTCTACAAGATATAATAAGCCACGCCTTTAATATCAAATATCGTTATTGTTACTGTGTGTATGTTTACTCGATGTTTGGGAGTTTATGAGTGTATACTTGGATGCAACACATATAATAAAATATATAAACCATCCTTCGGGTCTTGTTTAGTTTGTGTGCTTGTAAGCCATCCAAATAGAAAACATAAATGTTACAGAGGATATCAATGATTTTCTTATAAACGTGTGATTCATTCTCTTAGAGGTGTATAAAACAAACAATTTTCACTTGTTGTGGTATTCACAAATAAACAAATGAAAAACAGAAACAAATATTTTATTCATAAACAATGTAAAAAACTGAATTTTCTGTAAATTATATAGAACAGAAAATATGTTTTAATTAATGAAACTTAGAGTAAATAATAGACAAAAAAATAATGTTATAAGTAATAAGTCAATATTTCTCTATCATAGCAGTAATAGAATTTCTACTAGCAACCTCACCATATTTTACCCATTTTATATAAATT